TTTTTTTTTTTTTTTTTTTTAGCCTAAAATGGGCTTTCATGTGCGTTTTGTGTGTTTTTGATGTGTTTCCATGAGTTCCAGTGCATTCCAGACCAGGGAAAATGAGACAAGCAGTATTTCCTTTGTCTGGTCCGGAACGGACTGCGCTGTTGTGAACGGAGCCCAGAAATACCATAGGGATACATTGGGATGCTTTTTTGGTCCGAGAACAAATTAACCTTTCCATCTCCCAAGCATGTAAATATGGTAGTGCCTTCATACCCCACCCTTTGTTCCCCAAGACATTAGGCATATGCAGACTAAACGCTTCTCTTGTTAATAACGAATACACTTTTTTTTTTTTGTCTGTCATAACTGACAAAAATTGTCAGCCGAGCATTGACTGCAACTAAGCCCTCGTTCACACCTGAACGTTTTGTAGCGCGTTCTACGCTCGAAGAACGCTCTACAAAACGCTCAAAAATATAAATTGCATTGGAGTCAATGGACTCGTTCCCACCTTGCCGTATTTCCGCCCGTCCCGAACGCGCTACAAAACGGCCCACGCCTGAAAAGGTACAGTTACTACTTTGGGCCGTTTTGTAGGGCGTTTTCCATTGGAATACAGCCAAGTAGACTTTGGAATCGCGCAACTTTTTTAATCGCGGTAAAAAAACGCGCGACGGTCGCGCTTTTGCAATACGCCTAGGTGTGAACGAGGGCTAATTGGCCGCAGTCACTTTTGGGGTATTCTGACAGAAGTGGGTGGCAGCTGTCCGAGTACAGTAGCCAGCAAGGGAGATTCAAGCATTTTTTTCTGGAGCATGCACTACTTTTTTTTTTTTTCCACTGCTGCGTTGCAATACATGGCTGTCAGGAGGTGTGTTGGAGTATCATTCAAGTGAATGGCAATGCAACACCCCTAGCGCACGGTACCACACTCTAGGCCAGAGATGTCAAACTCAAATACACAGTGGGCCAAAATTTAAAAAAATGCTCCAAGTCGAGGGTCGGGCTGGTTCACACAGTATAATACCGTGATCTATACAGCATATCACACAGTATAATACAGCGGCATATACAGTATATCACACGGTATAATAACAAAGCCTGTACTTTTAATAATTAAAATGCATGATGCATAATTACAATAAAACATTTTTTTTCTAACTTTTTTATTTACTTTCCCTTTTAAGAAATAGCCTAAATATTTAAATAATAAACGCCAAAAACAGACATTAAATAGTTCAGAGCATTTACAACAAAATAATTTACTTCCAAAAAAAGTTTTTCTATCTGGTGCCCGCTTCTGTGGATTCTTCCCCTGCTTTCTCTCCTCATTGCGCAGGAGAGATATCAGTGGGGGATCAGGAAAATCATCAATTAGAGATGTTTTAAAAAATAGTTTTGTCTATTTAAATTACAGTAAAAAGTGTATGTGGGGGGGATGCTCAATGGGGACAGTATGGAGTCCATACTGTCCCCATTGAGCATTCCCCCCACATAGTTTTATCTATATTATTTAAATTATAGTAAAAATTATTAGATTACATACTAGTGTGGAGGCTGGTGGTACACAGGTCACAGATACTACTATCGGTATATCACTCCCCTTCTTCTCCATCACTTCTACAGCACAGAAGAAGTGATGGAGAAGGGGAGATATATACTGACTGACAGTGTCGCAGCACAGTACCTGCAGGCTGCAGCTCTCCCGTCTGTGTTGGATCCTGATTCCCTACAAGGAGCACCTCACGTCATCTGGACTGGACCTCGGGACCCCCCTTAGCCACCTCACGGCCTCCCCTCCCTTGTCACGCTGTGCTACTGCCAGGCTGCGTGCTGGGTATTGCAGTCCTCTGGCCGGCGGCAGCTCTCAGGCTCCTCAGTCCCATGAAGATCGCCAGCGTACAGGGCCAGATCTAATGATAATTAATTATCAGGCTGGCCCTAAGGCAGAGTTTTTATTGATTGTGTGCCTGAGAGTTGTTCTAAGTTTAACTGTTCATATTTTCCAGTGGTTTCTGTATATGATGACACAGGAAAGGGTGGCTGTAGCTTGATCACAGCTAAACTCTACAGCTGTTTAATGTGCATTATTGGTAAACCATTGTAGAATAAGACAGTCATTTTCCAAAGCGAATTTTCTTCTCCTTCGTGCTATATAGTTACCACCAGTGATCAGAAAATGCCTGTAAAAGTAGTATGTATGTAGGAAGTTGCAGCTACAGGGCCTCCAGTCCCCTTACACTGTAGCAAATGGCTGAAAGATGTACCATTTGAGGAGTGTTGGTCATGCGCCGCACATTTAAAGCTATTTACTGTACATTTTGAGTTTGTGTGCTTTGGAATATCATTCAGACATCTGATGACCTCAGCATGACCTGGCAATGATTCAGTCTGGCAGGATGTGTTCAGTGTCTGATGTAGAACAAGAATTATTTCCTGACACTCTTTTGTGTGCTTTCCAAAATTGTAGTAGTAGTTGTGGCCAAGCAAGGAAAAATGTACCATAGTCGAACTAGAGCTATATTTTCTTGTGTAACACAAAACAAACGTTAGCATAAGCACAAGATATTGTCAGCACAGGAACATGTATTTGAATTACTTTGATGAGAGCATTAGATCATATTTAGAAAGTGTGCGTGTGTTACTTCTAGCAATAGACTTCATCGGCTCTGGTCATCTTGCTAGGGACTAGCTTTTATTAAAAGAGAACTATGAGGTGAGTCTTTTTCACTCAGCCTCATAATCTGAGCCGACCTGTGACAATGAGACTGTCACAGGTCGGCTCAGTAGATCGGGAAGTGAGCGAACACATACCGGCGCTCGCTCACTTCTCGATCCTGTGCCGGCAGAGAGCCGTGACGGGAGGGACTGGATTCCCCCCCTCCGATCCTCCAGCGCTGACTGGCGGAACGGACGAGGGATAGGGCGGGTACTGATGGCTCTGCCTCTAGATAGGCAGAGCCAGCTGTCACTCACGCAGCTGGGTGGATCCAGACATAATTGTCAGGATCCGTTCCGACTGCGGCGTCTCAGTATACCGCGAGCTGTAGCTCGCGGTATACTGAGCTTTGGGTGACGGGGGGACGCTAGTTTGTGTCCTCCCGTTACCCTTAGGAGAACTATGGGGAAAAGCCCTAACCCCGTAGTTCTCCTTTTTAAGTGGTCACATGCAAGTCCTGTAAATAGAGGGTTAGTCTGTGGTGACATTACTTGAGGCTCATGCTGAGTTGCAGGATTGCTTCGTTTATGGGCAGCTTTAGGACTTGTTCACACCAAATGCAGACCAGATCTGCATTAGTTTCTGCACACGCAATGCAGTGGGTTTTGCTGCGTTTTTGATGCATTCCGGGCCATTTTTGTAAAAAAAACAAAAAAAAAAAGGGCTTTCAGTGTGTTCCAGGGCGTTTTGCATACGTTCCAGAGCAGGAAAAATAGAGCTTGCTGCAGTTTTTTTTTTTTTTTTAACATGCTCTGGAACTGTGGTGTGAACTAGAGCACAAAATACCATTGGGGTACATTGGACACAGTTTTGATCCGTTCTGTAACTTCTCTGCTCTGCTCCTGGAACGCGCTTGGTGTGAACTAGCCCTGAGCAAATTTCTGCTCAATGAGGGGAATTTATCAAAACTGGAGAATCTGTGCATGGCAACCAATCGGCTTCTCTCTCTCGTATTCAAATCTTAACTGAACAAACTAGAGAGAAGCTGATTGGCTGCCATGCATAGCTGCTCCAGTTTTGATAAATATCCTTCAATGTGTATTACAAAGAAGAAAGTGCTGTGAAACTGCATAGCAAAGTATGTAGAATAGTTTTTCAGATGGTTTAGTACTTTCATCTTTACTGACAAACAATTTTTGTAGTCAAGGGAACCTTCTGTGTATTTCAAGCATTCATACAGAAAATAATAGCATCTTTCTGGTTTTCTTGTTAGAAACATAGTACTATGCATCTTGCAGCAGTCCTCCTGCATTCCCCTCATTCACATGGATTTTCACATCTGTATGGCATGCACACCTGTGCACAGACCTGCTCCTATGGGGGACAGGTGCAGCCTGTGATTCCGGACAGGATGCAGCTGCGTGCCAACCTAAACCTGCAGGTCTGGGTGCACGCACTTGAATGTAGACTGTCTGTGTCCAAGTGCATGCACCTGGACCTGCACTGATGTTGGTCAGCCATAACCTGTCCTAGGAATGTACACCAACTAAAGGTCACCGTACAGATGTGCACATGCATGTAATTGAGACCTAAAACTCTGACCATGCAAGACTTCCAAAGTAGGACCTTGTAATTCTGTTACTAGGTTTATTCCTCCAAGCACTGTGTAAATCCTCCCTGGGTCATAGAAATAGAAATCTTGATTTTATTAGAATAATCACACTAATCGCACAACCTCAGTGCTCAAGCAGTGGCAGAACTACAAATCTACAATATGTGTTATCCCAATTTGGCTGCAAGAGTGGAAATATACTTTAGGCTGGCCAATATGTAATACAACTGATTGTACAATCTCTTCTAGATCTACCGTCAACTATTTTAGTGGAAGGACCTGCCTGATGTATTGCACATTTAAATGGACCGTTTGGGTTTATCCAAATATTGCATAGTTTTGTTAACTGCAAAGGGGCTTGTAGAATGATTGTACAGCTTTGGGATAATGTTGGAGCTTTATGAATTGAGCCTATAATGTTACTTTTTTTATTTTTTTATTTTTTACATCAAATATCCCAAGATAACATACCTTATTGTTTTAAGCAGTATGCAATAAACCACTACACTTCAGTGAAAGTATTGCACAAACTGCTGTTCCACATACAATGTTTTATATACACTTGGGAAGTGTAGATACTTCTATCAAGTTTTAATGCTGTCTGTGACCCCATTGGGGAGATTTCAACGCTCTTCCTGTCCCTGCTTATAATGGAGCAAGAAAGCAGGACAGGAAGACCAAGAAAGAAATAATATCCTAGCAGAGTTTGCAGTCTTTCGTACTGTAATTTTTTTTTGTGGTAGCTGGTTCCCCATTTGGAGATATTTCCCATTACTTCCTGTGACAGCAGGAATCAAAGGGAAATCTCCACAGTGTGGAAAAAAAAACCCAGACAGAGAATGTATTCTATTCTCACTGTGTCCAAAGTTTAACCGCTTCCCGGCCGGCTTGTAATTAATCAGCCGGCCGGGAGCTTCTTGGATGTGATATGCCGTCTAAAGAGCCCCGCCCATTCAGATGCGCCGAGTGGGAACCTGTCAAAATTTGTAAAGGGCAACGATGCCTGTTTACATACAAGTGATCCTCTGGCTGTAGACCCGGCGGATCGCTTTTCTGAGGTGCTGGTCTGTGCGCCCCCTCTGCTGGTCCCGAGCTCCGTTGTGTCTGGTGCAAGCCCGGGACCAGCATGTGGCTCTTTGACAGGTGATCAGAGGGAGCGCAGTACACGATCTGCCTCTGATCTCCTCCCCATTGGCGGAATGCGTGAAGTCATGTATATTGCCTCACTTCCGCATTCTTGTGTCACTCTCCGGCTTCAGAAGCTGGGGAGAAACTTCTTCGGGGGTTCCTAGGTGACATTAAGGGTCTTAAAGACCCCTGATGTCTCTATAAAGAGGACCTATCACACAGGGGGCTTGATAACAATACCGTTAAGTGAAAAAAAACAATTTCACACCTAAAAAATAAAAAAAAAAAAAAAATTTTTTTTTAAAGTCCCCACTCCCACATACGCGCTCACAAATGCGCCAGGTGCTCATACGTGTGAAAATTACGATTGCGCCCATTACGCCGCATATGTTACATGTGAATGAGAGCAATAATTCTACGGCCATTATTCACTGATAACACTGGACTGATGAGCAGTAAAAACTTTTAAAGCATCTCCTGTGGCCAATTTTGGGTGTGATCGTTTTCTGCGACTTCGTGGGTGTGTGCAATTTTAAGGCTTGACATGTTTGGTGTCTATTTACCCGACGTGACCCCGTCTTTTATATTTTACCAAAAGATTGGATAATAACTGTATTATAACATTAATGTAAACAAAACTTTTTTTTTCCGATTAACTTTTTCCTTAATATTGTAAAAAAATTAAAACCCCCAGTGGTGATTTAAATAGCACCAAAAGAAAGCTCTATCTGTCCCCCAAAAATAGTATAAAATTAATTTCAGTACAGCGTTGTATGATGGAATAAATGTCAGTCAAAGTACTGCAGCGATGAACACTGAAAAATGTCCTGGACAGGAAGGCGGTATAACACCTGGTCTTTAAGTGGTTAAAAACAATTGGGCTGGTGTTAGGCTTTAAATGGTGGTCAAGATATAGCAGATATACAATTAAATAATAAATAAAGATACATTTTTTATTTAATTTGTTGTGTGTTTTTGTTTTGTTTTTTTGGAGCGTCTTGTTTCCCATAGCTCATCATTAGTCCATTATTATGATGCACATCCCCCATTACCAGTAAGGATGGAAAGAAAAAGGTGAGCCAGAGTTCAGGTTCGGACAACCATGTTGAGATTTGCATACTGAACACCCTGGATTCCCAAGCTATGCAGTAACTCTGGGAGACAAAACTGTGGATACATTCTGTCACTTCTAGGTGCCTGTGATTCATATCTGCCATCATTTTTACCATTATTTAAGTTGCCTTCCAGTGCACTGTAAAGCCCAACTCCAGCCAGAACACTTTATTTTATTTCTCATTAGAAAGGGTTTGAGTCTTAGTTGCATTCTTTGCTGCCTGTGTCTTTATTGGAAAAAGATCCACTCATGTTCTATTAAGAAGTGATCGAAAATTTCCTCTAATGTGTATATGGACAAAACACATTGTCACTTTTTAGAAAGGGGAAGGGTTAGGACATTTAATAATGTTTTTTTTGTTTGCTATCTGTGCCTGACCGTGGTGCAATGAATACAGCAGGGGATCACTATTTGAATAAACTTCCATGCTTCTTCCTTTTGGAGTGCATTTGCTGTATATTCCTGTAAAGAAACCACTTGGGAGGCCAGTGACACCAGTTATGATGAGTTCTCCGCTTGTGAGATGCCTCCAATTAGCATATGGAAAATGTACTCGGAATTATCATCTTCATTCACATCAGAGCCTTGGCTGTCGCAGATATGCCAGGTTGAAAATAGAGGTAATGCCTAGAAGCAATTGGAATCAATTAAATTATTAAATCTACTCAATAATCTGAAATATAGGCATGATCCATGGCTGAAATAAGAGGAATTCTCATTCAAACCATTCCAGCGTAAAAAAAAGTTTAAATGTTTTATTTACATGTATATCGGATGAACAGCTCTATTGCAATAGCATCTGACCAAGAAGCCAGTTGTTTAAATGGTCCACGTATGGACCATTTAATTGTTATGATTTGTGTAAGTGTAATAATCAGAAATAAGAGAAATCAGTGTGTATATTATATTTGTACTTTAAGATTCCAGTTTATGATGTATTGATATGCATTATTGTACCTTTTTTTTTTGTTATGTAAAAAAGTTGAATATGTGTTTTGTGAATGGCCAGACACATAGCTAAAATGTTGTTTTTGCCTTTCAGTCAGTGAATGCAGCTTTTTGATGCACGGCATGTTGGATTCAGGACAGGCGCAGAATGAGTTTAAAAAATGACACTGGACATGAGAAGGCGTCTTACAACCTATACGTTTATCCCCAGCTCGCTGGAGAGGACTCAAACTGTTGCACTGTTCTGGCCACAAAAGAATCATTAGCTTCTGATGTAGTCAAGAATGCAGTTGCTGCTCTTGGTCTGGACACTTCCAAAACTTATGTTCTGGCAGAGGTGAAGGAGTCGGGAGGAGAGGAGTGGATCCTGGATCCCAATGACTCCCCAGTACAAAGAGTGCTTCTGTGGCCACGTAAGGCTTTGGACAGGCACCCACAGGCAGAAGGGTACTATTTCCTTCTACAAGAGAAGAACCAGGATGGGACCATTAAGTATGTCCATCTGCCTCTTGTTTCAGAAGAGGAAAAAGCCAGGAGGCTTGTGGAGCGCGGGTTTCTCCCTCGATCCCAGGAACATTTCAATGACTTGTGTAACTTGCCCAAACTAACGGAGTCAGCCATCTTGGGAAACCTTAAAACCCGTTTTCTAAAGCACAAAATCTATACATACGCAGGAAGTATCCTTATAGCCATCAACCCATTTAAATTCTTGCCCATCTATAATCCAAAATATGTCAAAATGTATGACAATCACCAGCTCGGCAAGCTAGAGCCTCACATTTTTGCCATCGCGGATGTGTCTTACCATACTATGTTGAAGAAGAAAGTCAACCAGTGCATAGTTATTTCTGGTGAAAGTGGCTCTGGAAAGACGCAAAGCACCAATTTCCTAATACACTGTTTGACAGCACTGAGTCAGAAAGGACATGCTAGCGGTGTTGAGAGGACCATACTAGGAGCAGGACCTGTGCTTGAGGTGAGATTGTTGTAAAAACTTTTTTAAATGCACTCCTTTTTTTTTTTTTTTTTTTATTTCTTATAAAGAGCCTGTTATACTTTGTCTTTTTAATCGTAAGCTTTCACTTTAAAAAGATGGTAGTTTAGAAGAGGTGCTGTGACCAACACCTCCAGTTTCCCCCTTCTACCACCTTTTTATAGATTTTGTTTTGATTGTAAGGCACTTTATTTATATTTGTTGTTGTTGTTGTTTATGATTTTTTATTATTTAAGTTTTTCATTAAAGGTTCTTTTCATGAAAACAAACAAGTCACATCACTTATGAGACACAAGGATCATACTGACTATGCATATAACAAACACACAATATCAATTGACATGTCAAAAGACAAAGTAGTAAAGTGAGATATCAGCATCCAGTGTTTGGAATTTTGACATACTAATGCATCATAGCAGGGTGGTTCAGTAATACTACAGAATGCCCACTGTTTTCAAGATGCATATCTGTGGACTCTGTGGCAATTAACAGAAAAGCAAAGAAACATAGACCCGGCTTTCTGGCCAATCAGGAAGCTGGGGGGTGGGTATTGACTCGCCACCTGGCTTCCTGGTTGGCCAGTTTCCCGACTAATCAGGAAGACGGGCGGCGAGTCATTACAGGCTGCCCGGCTTCCTGATTGGCTGGGAAGCCAGCTCCATGCTCCTTTGTCACCAGGGAGCATGGAGCTGGACTCCTGGCCAATCGGGAAGCCGGGCGGTGTGTACTGACTCGCTGCCCAGCTTCCTGATGGCGGAAGTACGAGTATTCGCCCAAATACTTGGTCTCGGCACCGATACTAGTAACGGTATTGGTGCATCCCTAATCACTTGTAATTCCTTGAACTGTTTTTAGACATTATAGGTCTACCATTCTGGCCAGACTGACTAAAAGCAGTGGGCTCTGTATGGCTAGTTTGTTTAGATTTAGCTATGTATGATAATGCTTTAGTATCATACCTCTTTTTTTAATTGAATGATTTGATGATTTGTTTATACTTTTTCATGCTTGTTTGCTAAAAGTATTTCCCTTTTTTTTTTTTTGAGTAAAAGTGAGGGGTTCTTTAATTGGCTGTATAATTAGCTCTGTTGCTGGCATCATATGCTTTTGTCTCTCATACCTGTTTTCCCTCAATCATTAATCATTGCTCCATTTTTCACTAGAATTTCTCAAATTACATCACCAGTGAAATCTTGCCTGTGTGTATCATTTATGAACAGAGGAAATGGATGTTCATGAAATTACTATCCTAAGGGCAATCTACTAAAGAGTCTTAATTGCTCCTTCCGGGCTATGTTCCATTAGGTCATCCATTTTTCTGACTATTGTTCATGTCAACGAGCATACATATTTAATGAGCACCACATGCATTAATGTAAATTATGTGAGCAGCTTCAGTGCAGCGGGCCATGTAAGTACATTGTGCTAATTTTGTAAGCCTAAATTATGATGTGCCTGGATCAAAGATCCAACACATCTATCAAGTCTTGTTTCCATGTACAATGAACAATAGAATCACCAGCACTCCGTAAATGAAATAAAAAAAAATAATCAATTTATTTGGACTAAACGTCACACATATCGCATAATCCAACGTTCCGGCACCACGCAGGGTCCCTTCATCAGGGCAGAGATGTGACGGACGTGGGATTATGCGATATGTGTGACGTTTAGTCCAAATTGATTTTTTTTTTTTATTTCATTTACGGAGTACTGGGGATTTCTATTGTTCATTGACTGTTGTACACGGCGCCATCTGTGATTGTCACTGCAAGCACCACTATTTTCACTTGTACCGGAAGCGCTGTAAGGAGTGCAGGGGGACCTACTGTTTTCTGGAATTGTTTCCATGTACAATATTTATTTTATTCTTTCTTTAAGTTATCTCTTTTGTACCTAGTTTTTGAACTTTTTCTTTTGCAAAATGTGTTGCAAAGCCTGCTTGCTTTATTGTATTTCAGTATTAATAATTATAGCAAAGTGTACCTAGTCTTTGAATGGCTACTTAGGAATGGAGTGTTTGATTTAAATGTGTCATTAGTTATATGGCTTACCCAGTATTTTCTCTATTTTTGCACAAAAATATGCACTATCCACACCCTTCGGCTCTACACACTTGTACCATGGCATCATTCATTCCAAAAGCTGGGTCTGTACTACTATGCTTGTTCATGTCCTGTCATGGGTACAAACCAAACATTCCAAAGAAATTGTGCCACACTGGGCCAAGGGCTTGGCCCGGGACCTTTTTTCATGCAGAGTTTGTGCAGCACAGGGCAAGGTCACACACTGAAGATATCTGGAACAGGGCTGAAGGTTAGTATATTACAATATTTGTTACATTGAGGGGAAGAGTGCCTGCATTTTAAAGGGCAACTAGAAACAGAAATGCGAGTTCTGAATTAATTGCCTGCCTGCATAGTCCAGGTTCCTTACTACTCTTGTACACAATATTATGTATCGTATAGATCAGCGTTTTTCAACCACTGTGCCGCGGCACACTAGTGTGCCGTGAGATATTGTCTGGTGTGCCGCGGCTTTGGCTCACAAATAGACCAATCATACCGGTGCGAGAGCAGGGGACGCGGGTCGGCAATGGAGCCGCGACGAGAGCTGGGAGCGTGGAGCAGCCGCCATGACATAGCTGGGGCCGTGGAGCGGCGGTGACCGGGTATAGAGCGGTGATGCAGCCGCGTGACAGAGCAGGGGGGCGTGGAGTAGTGACGGCGTGGAGAAAAGATGAAGCCGTGACAGAGCCGGAGGGGTGGAGCGATGAAAGGTTCTGTCACGTCTCCAGCTCGGGGGGAGGAGCCGGTGACGTGACAGGAGCTCTGAGCCGTTACAGAGCCGGAGCATTGATAGAGGCAATTCTGCCAGCATCCCTCAGAGGACCCCCCTTTCTGCAGGTCTTGTCACGCTCCTAGCAACTGGGAAGGTGAGGGGGTTCTTTTCCATGACACACCAGCAGTGTGCACTTGACTAGTGTAAAGAAAAAGAAAAAAAGTGGGGCTTTAATGGTGCCAAAAGACAATTCTGAATAAAAATGTCTTTTTATTTGAGATATGTATACACTTTACACTTTCAACCCAGGGGTGTGGTGCTTAAATACTCAGGCCTTGGCCAGCACTTAAATGTATGAAGAGTGTGCACTAAAGTTTAATTTTTTTAACATTTTCTAATGGTGGTGTGCCTCGTGATTTTTTTCATGAAAAAAGTGTGCCTTTGCACAAAAAAGGTTGAAAAACACTGGTATAGATGAATGGAACCAACTCTGGAATTTTCGAGATGTTCTCTAGACTGCCCCATTTATGTTTCTGGTAGATAATGGTACACGCTTAAAGGGCTGAAGATAAACCGCAGGGATGTAAACAAAGCTATGGGCTTCATTTTTAGCTCCCTTAGATGGTGCTGATGAGTATAGGATGTTTTATAAATGAAGCCCTTAGGTCCGGTTCACACCTGGGCGTTTTGTAGCGCGTTCCTACGCTCTGCAAAACGCTCAAACACCGAAATCCCATTATTTCCTATGGGTATTAAGGACTCCTTAATGACTGGTAGGATCCCCAGTGATTGGCGGAGGGCTACGGTAGTCCCAATATTCAAAAAGGGGGCAACGTGCCAACCTGGGAACTATAGGCCGGTCAGTCTAACATCGGTAGTTTGTAAAATGCTAGAGGGCATAATAAAGGATTATCTGGTAGAATTTGTTCAGGAAAACGGGATAGTTAATGACAATCAGCACGGGTTCAGGAAAGACCGTTCCTGCCTAACTAACTTGCTAACTTTTTATGAGGGGGTAAGTAGAGATATGGACGGAGGTAAGCCGGTGGATGTGGTATATCTGGATTTCTCAAAGGCTTTTGATACGGTACCACACAAACGCTTGCTACACAAGCTGAGGGCTATGGGCATAGATGAGGTGGTGTGTACGTGGATAGAGAACTGGCTACGGGAACGTGTCCAGAGGGTATCTGTAAATGGCACCTTTTCAGACTGGGCTAGTGTAATGAGCGGTGTGCCTCAGGGTTCTGTGCTGGGTCCCATATTGTTCAACTTATTTATTAATGACATCGGGGAGGGTGTTAACAGCGATATTTCCGTGTTTGCGGATGACACCAAAATAGGGAGGGTAATAGACACGGACTTAGACACTATAACATTACAGGAGGACCTGGATAAAATAGGGGAGTGGGCATTAATGTGGCAGATGAGGTTTAATGTCGATAAATGCAAAGTAATGCACTTTGGAATTAAAAATAAACAAATGGGTTATACAATTATGGGTATGCCGCTGGGGAAGTCAGAAATGGAGAAGGATTTGGGGGTCATTGTAGACCACAAACTGAAAGGTAGTTTGCAGTGCCAGGCTGCTGTAAACAAAGCTAGCAGGGTCTTGTCCTGTATTAAAAAGGGGATGTATTGCAGGGACAAGTCTATAATTTTGCCACTTTATAGATCATTGGTTCGACCTCATCTGGAGTACGCGGTCCAGTTCTGGTCACCAGTACTAAGAAAAGATGTCCTTGAGTTGGAAAAAGTCCAGCGAAGGGCAACCAAACTAATTAGGGGTATGGAGGACCAGAGCTACGAGACGAGGCTACTAAATTTAAACATGTTCACATTAGAGGTGAGGAGATTAAGGGGGGATATGATTTCCATGTACAAAATGTTTAATGGTGGTAGCAACATTAGCGATAAACTGTTTAAAATTAACTCCGTTACAAAAACTAGAGGCCATCACCTAAAATTGATGGAAAAAAAATTCCAGCACAAGGGGCGAAGGGGGTTCTTCACAGTAAGATCAGTTAGGGTCTGGAACTCACTGCCACAGGCGGTGATTTCAGCAAATAATGTGGAATTGTTCAAGAAACTTTTGGACGATTTCTTAAGGGACCGTAATATACAGGGGTACGGGTACTCCTAGAATGAGATCCTAATAGGTTGGACTTGATGGACTAATGTCTTTATTCAACCTCAAATAC